CTCCCTACCATTAAGTAACTTGTGCATTGTTTTACTTACTTGTTTTTGACATATCCGACCGAACTACAAACTTTCCAGTGCTGTCTGTGAGAAAGGGATAGTCACTCGACAAGCTCGCGCATCTGCGCCGCCGCGCACTCAATCCACTTTCCAGCTGGCGCAAATCAGCTATACAGGCGTTAATACTGAATGTTTTATATTCATTGCATACATATACTTCGTAGACATCTTTAATCTCTAATAACTCCATTCTGCTGTCTGTTGTCGGTGTTTCTTTGTCTGAATATGGCACTTATCACATGCTGTGTGGTATCGGCGTTTGGTATCGGGCATTTTAACGAGTACGAGTACAGGAGCTCAGTATCGGGCCCGATATCGATACCATCGGTGCATCCCTAGTTTTTAGTAAGTAAATTTAGTTTGTTATGGACATAGCCATAAGCCTCGATTTATGTTTCTGCCAGTGGGTGCAAAAAACGAGCATTTTATTTTTTTATACAACACATTTTCACCGCTGTTTACACAAGTAAATGATAACCGGGCTAAGTTATCATACACATACGCAACAAATGCTTAACATATTTAAACATTCTCATTACTCAGTAATTCATTATACTGGGTGTTAGTTTTTTCTAGAGTAGGCTATACACCGTTCGATGGTCCGTTTGATGAATTCACTTCACAGAATTTATCTTGCGAAGTGAAATGCATGCAATTACCAACCAAAATAACATTCTTTCTATAAGGGTTGCGCTTCACTAAATTAAATTATTTAATAAATGCCTGTTTACAAAAAGCACTTATTTGTGCATACACAGGACAAAGTTTGAGTTACATGTAATATCTGAGGGAGCGCAGAGCCATGATCACATATATAATGGAAAGCAAGCCCACTGTAAGCCGAGATATTCGTGCTGGCGCCCTCTCGTATTACAATAATGCACTCTCGACATTAGCCATTAAAATAATGCCAAAAACTGCCTCAAATGAACTATAAATACGAGAATAAAGTTGTAAAAGCTGCAATCCATTTCTTATTGGTTAAAATGAACGAAGACTATCTTGTGTTTTTCACGAGCACCCACGGGATCGGCGCCTATGGCATTTAAAATAAATGTTGTTTGTAGGCTAATGATCGGCACTATAATTAATTTTTTTTATATACATATATATTGATTTATTTTTGTTCTGTTATGAATGCCACAAAATTTAAATGATTTGGAGTGAGGGGAAGTCAAATTCATGTTAGTGTTTATAATGTTCCCCCCCCCCTAACATTCGTTTTATTTAGACCTATTCAGTATTTAAATTATTTCTGAACGTAATAGTAAAATGCGACTTACACACCATGCAACTTGGGTTTTGTTTTGTTTTCCCCCCTTGACCTGGTGCAACTTTCCGGAAAATATGGTAAATTTAATTATATTATGTAGTATTAAAAAGTACATATACAATGGGGACCATTTGCACCAATAAAACATTCATATTATGTTCATTCCTCCTACCCACATTAAACTTTAGCCTTAAACACTGTTATAATTATGAGGGGGTCCTTGGAAAATCATCTCCCCTGTAAGGGGTCCCTGGCTCCAAAAAGTTTGAAAACCTCTGCTCTAGATCATCATCATCATAAGAGAGAACCAGAAGAACTGAAAGCACAGTGCAGGCGCTTTCAGCAGACAGGTAAAGGATTTCAACAGAATTGAAGGGAGGAAATAAATTAAGACGACACAGATGAGAGGAGCGAGTGTGACTGTGAATGTAACCAATGGCCAGGTTTCCTGTTTTTGCCAGGACAGGAAACTCAATGACCCAATCTGTGCCCTTCCCTTCCTACTCCTGAGCCGATCGTGCACACACACACACACACATCCCTGTGTGCTCTGGATCTGAAGGGTCGGACCTGGAGTGTGTCCTGCTCAGCTTAAATAAACATCAGCCAAA